CCATCCCTCTACCCATCCCTCCATCCACCAATTCACCCATCAGTCCACCCATCCCTCCATCAATTCACCAACCATCCATCTATCAATTCCACAAAATCAGATCATTACACAAAGTCTGACAACACAAGCCCACAGCAGAGCTCCTCCTACCGGGTGTGTGTGACGTGATGACGTCCGCTAGTGACGGCTCTGCTGTTGCATCCTGGTTGTTGTTCTCATGCTCCTGCAACCTGTCCACCATGGCAATTATACAGTTCAGGCTTTTGGCAACGTTTACCCACACCCTGTCCTGGAAGATAGTCACACCCAGAAATCCACAATCAGCACAAAAATAACAACAGCAACAGAAGCAAAGGATTGAACTCCTGCAAGAAATTTGGCTACTTAAGCAAAATACCAAATAACTGAAACCCCCATGTACACTGTAAAATCAAAGCCTCCGCTTCTAAAAAACACACAGCTTATAAAATCAAATGATAAACCAAGGATAAAATACAATGATTTAAATAAAATCTAATGAAATTAAAATAAAATCACAATACTATTTTAAAGAATGCCTTTCACCAGTTCGCTCATAATTCTTAAGACTTAAACAAAACCATATCTTAAAGGCTTACTCAGTAACATTTTGGTCTTTTTCTATTTTAGTTAATAATAATCTACCAACCATCCATTTTCGAACCTCTGTATCGAAAGGTGGGGTGAGGTGGGATACACCCTGGATGGGACAGTAGTCCTTGCAATAACAACAACAACAACAATAATAATAATAATAGATGTTATTGTTGCTGTTGTTGGGAGTGCAAGGAGAAATGTTTTCTGTACACATTATTTTTACCCTACCGCATTTTTAAATCCACTGACAAACTACATTCAAGCCTGGCTCCTTTCTCATTGATTGTAGGTTATCTTCTTTTTGTAAGTGCTAATCCACTGGTATCTGGAGTCCTTGAGAGGTGTAGATGTTCTATTTGAGTGAGGTAATTGCCAGTAATGCACTATCACCTTTTGCTCTGACAGACACTAGCAATCATTTTTTGACAAGCCCTGAGATCCTCTAAATTGTGTCTAACCAAGCCGGTTAAATGAGGTGAAATGGAAGTCATTTTCTGCTCTCTCTGAAAAAGCGCAGAGAGACAGCAAACAGCACTTGCCCACTCTTCCTCGTCGTATTCTGAGTGGTGGGGGATTGAATCCTGCCGCTTCAGCGGAGGTGGGCGATCCTGCTTGGGCGGGCTTTCGCTGCCATCCACATTGTTGCAAACCGCGGAGTGACTCTTATTGACGTAGCCAGGGCGGGCAGTGTAGAGCGCAAGCAGCGCGTTCTTCACCAGCTCGTCTTTGAGAGCGTGCACAAACTGCTCCGTCTGTGAACAAGGAGGCACTTAATCAAACAAGCTGTTACAACAAACAATTAAATTAGTCCTTGGCATGCTATCTCTGCAGCAGAGAAAAACCTTTGATTTGTAAGTCTGAAGATGTATTTATAGTCCTCATAAGGGTTCAGCGCTTAGAAGCTCAGAAGGGCTCTCAAGGGTAATAGTATGGATATCGCAGTAACAAAGCAGGATTCTTCTAAACCTAATCTCCATAAAATAAAATGGAAAAAAAATCTCTTTGTATCCTCTTAAATATGGTACTTTAATAACAAAGCTTGATTGACTAAATTTGTTAGACTGCCGAGCTAACTGGAAGGTTGTTCATCAAAATAAAGTCAGGGAATTTTTCATATGTTATTTTTTTTTTGGAAATAAAAATATATAACTTTCTGTATTGACCTTTCCAGGCATGAATAATGGCAAAATGCCCTGCCTGGAATAATTCTGGGCTTTAGTATCTTAAATTTACTGAAATGTATTCAAGTTAGATGGCTGGCATCCACTCTGAGCTCAAAATGAAAGCTACTGTACATGACACAAAAAATGAGAAGAAAAAAGCCCAAGTGGGGGACACAGCAAAGTCATAATAATCAACCGATTTAAACTTGCAGGCTTATCTTCCCCATAAAATTTTTCAGTCCATTTATTATTCATGACAATTTCCAATGTCATTTAACAAAGCAATGAATAGTACTTTATAGGAACTGTCCAGCCCTCTTTAATAATCCTTGTTGAAAGTTCAACAAAAAGACACGTCTCAATTATTCTACAGTCTATAAATAATACATTAGGTCTTGTTTTAGACAAACAGACCAGAATTATCACAGCAGTCTTCACACATTCTTGATGTTTGACTGCTATATTTGGTCAACTTTCAGTTTGTTACACTGAATCTTCTCTGAAATCATAACAGGCTTCTGTAATGTATAATCATATTAGGCTATTGTTGTAAAAAGACATAAAAAATTGATAACATATTTAGGAGCAATAGAAGAGCAATCTTTCTACACTCTCTTCTCTTATTGGTCACCTTGTTCATGTGTACAGGGGTAAACTGCCCCTGGGGCTGCCCTAACTGTGTTGAGAGGCCGCCCCCAGGGGTAAATCTCACCCCAGCTCACCCTTGCTCTCTGCGTAAGACAGCCCTAGTCCTACAAAAGCAACCTTTTTTTAGCTCCAGGCAACATTTTTTTCCAAGTTGGACTTCAAAATTTCATAAAGACTCCCAGCAGGACACAGAGCAGGAAAAACAACCTTGGACCTGCCACACTATAAAACTCTGTCCTTCGTCGCCATATTGTCTGTTTGACCCCCCTCATCAGCTGTGACCTGTGGCTGATGATTTCCCCTATTGCTTGAAAGGCTTGTGGTAGATTTTAATTGCTGCTGTCCAGTGTAGTGTAAACAGAAGAGCAGCTGTACTCAGGTCTTCTTAAGGTGCTTTTGGCTCTTCAGGAAGAGTCATGTGACAGTGGGGAGTCTGAGAGCAGCAGCAGGGGAAAAGGGTCATGCCAACAAGATGGAGATGACAAGCCTAGTTATGGCAGTCAGTTTTAGCTATGAGAACAAGAGTGTAGGCAATTTGAAACAAACATAATGAAATTTCTACAAAAAGAAATCATTTATCTTTGCACTTGGATCTGCTTGTGCAAAGTTTCAGTTCCTGATGCTTCGACCGCAAGACTTTTTCATTTTACTTTTCCTTCCTTTCCTTTTCAAATAAACAACAGAAAACTCTTTGTTTTGACTGACGCTGAAGTGGCAGTCGGCCTAATTAAAGTAGGCCCCATTAATAATGTGAAGGCCACCCTTTAAATTAATCAGGTTGATTTCATGATTCTGAAGTTGAAGTGTTTTATTTTAATTTTCGTATTACAACAATTCCTAGATAAAGAAAAATAATTTCAGGTCATTTAGCCCTGAAGCAAAGAAAGAAGAGCCTCAAGCAAAAACACATCTCCATGAATTCAATTATTTTACTTCTATTGGGTTGAAGCACAATTGCATTAGCCTGCAGCGCAAAAACTTTAAACTAGAGACCATAATCTTAGTACTGGCCTTTAACATTTTATTCAATACAGCTCATGAAGCCCAAAAGAAAAAACTAAGGTGAGTAAAACAATAATTCAGTTTAATTTTTGTCCATAATAAACTAGTTCACCATGCAGTCTGTTGCTTTGAAGTTTCGGTCTTTTTTATTGCTGGCTTTAACAGAATTGCCCATTGAGGGGAAAAGGACAGTCTTATTTATAGTGCTTCCCAAACTAAAATAGCTGAGATGAATAATGGATGTTAACAGAAAACGAATAAAGTTTTACAGGAAAGTACAGTTTAAGACAGATACAGTATAGGCAAAACCAGCCCTTATGGTCCAGTTCTGCTATATTTGTTCCTCTGACGAGACAGACAGGCTTTTGTTTCGGATTCTGTCCTGTGCTTTATTTCTGTTTTTTTCTGTTCATGGAAACGCAAATGATAATAAATATTGTCTGGCAGACAAACAATGGCTTTTTTAAATTTGAACGCTAAGAATCTTGACATAAGACATTTTTCAAATCCTAGTGGAGAATAAACCAGCATAGGTCTACTTTATTTTAAATTAAAATACTTTACAGCCCTTCTCTTGTGATGCCATGTTTCTTTTTTCTACAGAACTTACTCCATTAGTGAGTACAAAATACATCATTCACTATCTACAGATGATCTATACATATAGAAAGTGCAGAAATGATGAGATGAATGTGACAATGCAAAACCTGCCTACCAATGTGAAATATATACAATTTTTTATGCTGTGAATAAAAAAACTACAACACACCTTACGTTTATCTGTACCTTTCTATTGTAAAAGGGTGCTTTATATAAACATGTGGCTGCAGATGTACAGGTTAAAAGCATACCAGAAGATTTCAAGAAAGAAAGAGATGTACAGTAGATAAATATTGCAGTGGAGCTCATAACAGAAGAGAGTTTTCTCTCAGTACTACAACCAATTTTCAGAAAAAAATGAGGTAAAATGTCACAGAGAAATGGGAAAATTTTAGATGATGAACAGGAAACAGTGGATTTACTGTACTGAACATTTCACTGCGTTTTTTACTGTGTACAAAATTAACAGCATGCCTCAGGCAAAGAAAAGAAAGTGCTATATTAATCATCATAAGCATTGATGAGGCCGAAGTGTTACAGGCATCAGAATCACTTTGTTAAACAAATGTCCAGAGCTTGATAGTATTGTACCAACTGTAATTAAAGAAAAGGGCCTTTAGACAAAACTTATCAGTCACTCAAAACAGGGGTGATACCTACTGTATGGAGTGGAAAATGGCTAATGTAGGCTAAAAGGGTGAGAAAACTGAACCTGATATTGACAATCAATAAGTTTACATTATTTCTTAAAGATTTAAAGTTACAGAGGTAATAATAATAAACGTTACAATTAGAACTCAATTTTCTTCTAGGGATAATCAACATGGATGTAGAAAAGACAGGTCTGCTTAAATAACTTGTTAACTTGTTAAGAGTTCTTTGAACAAGCATATGATACTGTATACAGTATATACACAGAGTGTGCAGTATACCATAGTATATTTAGATTTTCAGAAAGCCCTTGACAAAGTTCCTCATAAAAGGTGAATTCTCATATTGCAGAAGGCAGACATTTATTGAAATGCATGTCTTTGGAATGTGAACAGGTTAATGAAGAGAAAACAGAGAGTACACATTAGGAGGTAATGTAATCAGCAGGGTACCACAGGTGGAACCAGTTGTCTGTTATACTTTACCAATGGCCTAGACTCTGGAATAGCTAGAAAAACTGTCAGATTGGTAGACAATACCATTTCAGGTGGATCATCAAACACTGTAGAAGCACCAGATACATTTCAATAAAGTTTAGATTAAATTCCAAACTTTGGACTAACAAATTGAAGATGATATCTAATGCAGACAAATGCTGAGTGCTAGGTGTGCAGGTAGTACAAAAAGTATCTAAAGATATATTTCCTTTGACAGTTTTTTATGACTTAAACTCCAAACAGTATTATTACACTTTATGTGATAACTGTAAGGGTAGCAACATGAGGCAATTAAAAGTGGTGGCATTTGGCAAATCTTTTGCCCCATTTTCTGCTTTGTAGGGCTTGGCTGGCATAAGAGTAAAGAACAATGAAGATAATGCTTTTCTTACTTTGTCTGAGAGTGTCTTCAAAGCCTCCTTTAGGGAGCTGGAACAGTGTTGCTGGGCTGCCTGCAGCAACTGGTCTGCGAGGCTGGATATGAGAGGCTGCAGGAGGCTGATGCTAGTGAGGACTTCCTTGGCCTTGGCTGTGTTTTCTGGAGAATAGTAGATGCACTGGTATGTTGTGCTGAAGCTGCAATTTCAGGAAAGACACTGAGGTGAGCCTGTGAATAACACAGAGCCCGACAGTGCTTAAGGCTCACAGAACAAATACAAATTTCATTCCAACCAATGTTTGTGAACATAAAGGTTTTTTTTTCTCCAAGCACCAGTATAAAGAATAAGCTGATCAACCACAATCCATCCTACAGAACTCTTAGTAAGTTTAGAGTGAGAAAACCCCCCAAAAATATTTTGATAAGGACAATATTTCCCAGGACAGCTTGCCTGGCCCTACCATGAGAGAAAAAAAAAACATTCATTGTAAATATTAATTAGTTATACAAAGTGTGACTTATACACACAGTTTATGTTGATTTGAATTTTAAATAAGACGAAAACAATTTTACATGATTTACAGGGTGCTTAGAAAAATATATATTTTCAGCTTCTATTTTGTGTTCTTTTCCTGAGCTAAACCTGCCACTTTGTATGCATTTCTCATGTTAATATGCATATAAAGAAGGTTTATATCCACTACATGACAGATTTCTAGGGTTGAATGAATTTTGAGTCTCAGAATGTCAACATAACTACAGCACAATCTAGAAGGGTTGACAAAGGTCTACTTTTATTTCTTCTTTATTGAGTTGGAATACTGATCTTGCATTGAGTTAACAATTTCTGCAAATAATCCACAGGAAAGATATTTGACTTTTTTATGCACACACTTTCACTTCCTTGCAATCTCCAAAACAACACCTAATCATTTAGTGTAATCTAGTCCTTAATTAGTAATGTAGGCTTGGAAGAGGGCAACCAAGAACAGCTATAAAATAAATGTATTTAATTCGTCTTTGTGCTCATTCAAATTAACATACAGTGCGTTATCCTATGTGTAACTGTCAAAGGGTGAGAAAAATGGGCTCAGGGCATAAGATCTTACTGTAAGAGATCAATAATATTAGTTTTCAGTAACCACATTTTCATTCATATCAGTAACTACACATTCACAATGTCGGCCTCAAATTATTTTATCACTAAACAACACCAAATGTGTGTTGAATTTGTGAAATCTTACTGTTACATGGAACCTCTGAGAGGTTGTTCTTCTGTTCTGTATTGTTTTCTTCTTGCTGTTTTTAACTTTTTACTTGTGGGAGCCTTGTTGATGTAATGTTGGTGTCTGATGTGGTTTAACAATGAAAAAGGAAATAAAATTCAGTAGAACTGAGTTTAGGGAGATGGCTAGTTTGCCTCTTTTGATCTTTGCGTTATCTATGAATTCATGACCAAAATTTAATCTTAGCAAGTTTCCTCCTGTCTTTTTAAGGCAAATGTCTAAAACTAAGCTTGTCAGTACAGAAGCAAATCTTCTTTTACCAGTAACACATAAAAGCAAAAACAGACCATACTAAAAAGAGTTTTGAAGTAATTACCAGACTTGACATGCCTGGTATCTTGACATGAATTACTGAAAACACAGGAGAAATAAAACACCTGGAAGCCTTCAACTAGAATAAAATCTGCAATTTTGTAATATATATGTCAAATCTATCTTAAAAAACTGTTTTAAAAAATGCAGAAAGTACATACATTGTCAATTTCTATTAAGACCACAAAAATCCTTAACTATAAAATGCAATCCTTAATATTTTTAACTATCTCATAAAAAACTACATAATGCATCTCTAATTAACTCTCCTGAGAATCACCATATATTGATGTCTGATGCTAAGTAAAAACCAGACTCAAAAGAAAAAAAAAATTTATATGAAAACCAGTTCATACTATGCAGTTTTGTGAACCCTTCCACAGTGGGTAACCATTTCAAATGTACTGTACAATGATATATGTGTGATATTAGGAAATGTGTAGATTGAGACACTTTTTCCCCAAATTCTGCTAAATACTGAAAAAAATCTCATAGCACACAATATACTATATAGTATAATAAATTAATACTGTGCTTGGTTCCAACAGTAAAAGGTTCTGGTAGTTCAGTTATGGTGTGGGGCACATTTTCCCAGCATAGCTGGGGTGAACTGATTCCTATAGAAGTACTATTTAATGGTCCAGTTTGATCATCTTCACCTCCTATTGCTCCTGGCAGGAGGGGTGTCTTTCAGGATGACAGTGCCCCCATCCACAGAACAGGTGTGGTTTTTTAGTTTGTAATATTAGCAACTGGTAGTAACTGATATTAACACCTGTAGTAGGTGCTTTGTCACTGGTAAAAAACAGTCCTGTCCCTATTCCAAGATTTTCTCATTTTCTCATTAACAAACTTAATCCTAGCAATACTTTGGCTAATTTCTCCTCCTCATTCCAGGATCTTCTAAAACACTTTAAAAAATGGTACTGCTTAGATTCAAGTCTACAGTCGTCATCACAGACATACTTATGACAAAGTTGCAACTGTTAAATTACTGGACAATAGTAAAATATACCAGCAACAGGTGTAAAAGAAAGTACAGTGTACATGGTGAATTACTTGAGAGGTTGAGTATACTGCAGATGAAATATGAACTATCAACTTAAGTATTTAGAGCACACTTCAGCAGGAAATCAACTGATTTTTTATCTAAAAGCACTAGTATACAGAACATTTTACTAACAATAAACAGTTTAAATGAAAACATTAATGAATAAATCAGTATTTTTTATTGAGATGGAGAGTCATTCTTGATATGGCCTTGTTATAGGTTGTATAGGTTATTATAAACTGCACTTGATATAAATTGTTTTCCAGTTGAATTCAAATATATATGACAAACGTACTGTAGAAAGATTTATTTAAACATATATTATTGTACTAATAATAGAACTAAAAATGAAATTGTCAGTACCAGGTGAAGGTTTTAAGCCACCTGGTACTTACACCTAGAGATTTAAAACTGACCTGGTTACAAGGTTTTTAAATAGTGCGGGCAGAAGATCCTTATTCACATTATAATTAGAATCAAATCGGGTGCCAAGCAATTACAACCCACAGAAAACTGGTGGAAAAGTGATTGCAGCGCAATTAATTCAGTTTGTTGCTGGCTAATACTGAGATTTAAGGAGAGGGAAGACCTCGGGTGAGATACCCCACAGTGTGGACACGAAACAAGTTCTATGACCCGTCCCACAACTTCTAGCAGAATCTATTAACTAGCATTAACAAAAGCATCAAACAGTAACATTTCCCTTGATTTTCATAAATTATCAGTAAAAATTGGTTATGACAGTAATGAGAGGAAGAGATTCACAAGCCTCTGTCTAATTAACTGGCAGTCTCAAGTGCATAGCTAATTAATGCTGAAAAAATAAAATAAAATCTCCAGGCCTCGACTGACAGTCAACATAAGGAGAGTGAAACAAACAAAAAAAAAAGCAGGCAGATTTAATCAGGTTCAAGAAGAATCGTTTCTTATAAAACAGTTAAGAGACCTTTTCAAGGCAGCAAGGATGCCAATCAAGCTGTTGTTTCAATCACTTGACTTAATCTTTCTGAATAGACTGAGGTGTACTGCAATACTACATTTTCTTTGCCTGTCTCATGAGCAGACACATATCTTTAAATGAAAGGCAGTTGTTCAAGAAATGTCTTAAGACAGCTTTTTCGGGTACTTAAAATATACACTATTTATAATAAATATTCTCTCTCTTTATCCACCCATCCACCTTCCTAGCCATCCATTTATCTTACCCTGTCTGTCTAACCTGTTGAAGTCCTCCAACACTAATGATTCACAGAAGCTATATTATATTAAATGTCTTTTGTTCAGAAAATACCCACAGGGTTCAATTAAACACAAATTAAACCCAAGGACTCCTGAAACTACTTTTCCATGTAGATTAATCCGAGCTAGAAGCCAAGACCCTGGGTGTGAATTGCTTTTCAGACACTGACTTGTGGTATTGATTAACCTGATTGTGCCTCCCATCCCAGCCCATCCGTAAAGCTGAGAGAAAGCCAGGGCTCGCTTGCAGTGACATAATGGATCTCAGCAGAGTAACCCTCTGTAAATGAGTTCTCACATAATATCAGAAGAACATAGAAATATGGGGTTTTTATTGCTCTCTCAGTAACAGTTCTGTGTGCAGTTTTGATAAATGAATATCATATTGAATTTCCTGGTTTTATATCTTTTTTTTAGCACTACAAAAAATGCTGAGTTCACCAACAGTTGTTAACAACTAAAGTAGCAGCAAGGCAGAGCCTACAACAGAAAGCATTCACCACATCATAAAAATTCCAAACTCTGCAATTCACTGCAAAGAGAGGATATAATGAGATAAAGTGCTTCACTCTTATTACTATACACAGTATGAAGACTGTCATCCATCCATTCAATTTCTAACTGCTTTATCCAATACAGAGTCACAGGGGAGCTGATACCTATTCGCAGTAAACAAAAAAAAGTACAAGGCGGGAGACTCCTGGATGGGACGCTGGCCGCTCACAGGGCACACACAGACACACACACATATTCACACCACAGCCAATGTTCCTGGGGCCACTTAACCTACCAGTCTTTGGGCTGTGGGTACCAGACCAGTCTGGGAAAGGACACAACCAAAAGGACTGAACAACAAGATAAAGGACCTCAAATGGATGGCCATGCACCAGAGGCTGGTGACCAGAGAGGTCCTCTGCAGACACTCACTCACCAGGAAACTGCATTGCCCCCAGGACATGTGTTTCGTTGAGGAGACACAGGAGCACATGTTCTGGGGCTGTCCCTTCACCAAAGAGGTGTGGGGCACAACACTATGCAGCTCCTGGGAGCGGCGGTGGTGCTCAGCTACCAGTACATCCTACTAGGGCTAGCACCGACTGGATTGGATAAAGGGACACAGCACTCTCTTAGGCTGCTGGTGTCCCTAACAAAACAAGGACTGTGGAACACAAGGAACATTCATCTGGCACAACACAGAGTGGGATGCGAGGGAGCTGGAGGAGAGTATCCTTGCGAACCTCAGAGGGAGGATGAAGTGCGATGTCACTAAATTTGGCTTCTCAATGGCGAAGGAGCACTGGAAGGGACC